TCCCTGCTCGTGGGGGTGTCACAGAGTGTCTGTGGGCTCAGGGACCCCCGTGCCCTCACCTGCTGTGTCCCCCTGTGTCCCAGGAGGACGAGGACCCCAACAAGGGTGACCAGAGCCGCTCTCTGGACACGGGGGAGGACAATGTCACCGAGCAGACCAACCACATCATCATCCCCAGCTACGCCTCCTGGTTCGACTACAACTGGTGAGGGCACCTGAGGCAGGGGGGTCCATGGGATGGTGAGGGGCACCTGGAGCAGGGGGCTCCATGGGAGGGTGGCTGCTGTCTGGATCCTGTTCCCCAGTGAGATCTCCTGTGGAAAGGCTGCTTGAGGAGGCATTGAGGTGCACACACCACACTCACCGTGGCCAGCTCAGTGAGGACAGGCAGCAGGGTCTTTTGTAGGGTCAGTTCCAGCAGGGTTTATTTCAGCACAGCCAAGGGAAATCAGGGATAAAACACCTGGCCATGTGCTCTGCACAAGATTAGGTGTGAGAGGGCGCAGGGGTGGCACAAAGGGTTCAGGATGGGCACACATGGGGGTGGCATTGCCCTACAGGGAGGGCAGGGCTGGCAACCAGGGGTATCACAGCCAGTGAGGGGACAGGGAAAGGAGAAACCACCAGAATTTGGGCATGTGCAAGGAACTGGAGTGGTTCATAGTGATGTGCAAGACTCCATGGGGAAATCTGCTTCAGCCTAGGTGGGGAAAACTCTGTGGGAAATTGTTCCAAGGCAAGGCCCTGGGATTTCCCTGAGGGGGAAGCATTCAGAGGATTCCACAACAGCCCTGGGGATTCCCTGAGGGGGAAGGGGGAAGGATTCAGAGGATTCCACAGGCAGGCTTCCCTTGGTTTTGTTTTCTCACCAGTCAGCCTGGGAGCTGAAGGAAGTGACTCTTGTTTAGGTCTGGTTCCCATACTTTGTGCTGAAATCTTTCTGGGCCTTCTCAGGGGTTGGGAATGAGGAAGAGGATTTCAAACAGGTTTTGCATGCATTGATTTCCCTCCAATTCCCACCTTTATTCCTTTCTCCTCTAGTCATTGTCTGACCATTCTGTGTTTATCTCTACTCCTGAAAGCCTTTTTATTTTGCTTCAGAAGTTGATTTAAGGAGAAGTCAGGGATTCTAGAGGGAGGACACTTGTGGCAGCCTGGAATGCCCCTTGGAGCCAGGGCTGTTTCAGGGTCTGACACTGAACTCTTCTGTTGCAGCATCCACGTCATTGAACGTCGAGCGCTTCCAGAATTCTTCAACGGGAAAAACAAGTCCAAGACTCCAGAAATGTGAGTGAAACCTGGGAATGTGGGCAGGGACAGTGTGACAGGATAAAGGAGCTTCCCATCCCATAAACCCTGTGGCCACAGCTGGGTGTGTGTGAGCCTGATACTTCCTGTAGGGACAGAGCCACTGACTGTCATGGTAGAGATAAAAGTTTAAACACCAAAGTGGTATTTACCACTGGTTATCCAGGTAAAATAAAACTGCTTTCCCCCAAGTAATAGTGGAACGAATTCTTCAAGTCTGTGTGGTACAAGATGTGATCACTTCCAAAGTCATGTTAAAGTGCCATGAAAGGGTAGAATGGAGCAATCCTGCTTTTTCCTCCCTCTCTCCTCATGCCATGCTCTGTTTCTGTATTTCTGTGTGTTGTAGATCCTGTCTCAGGCTGTGGAGTGAATTTTCTGGTTTGAGTTTGGTTATTCAGAGTGATCTTGAGAGGCCATTGATAAAGGAAATATGGTCAGAGGCTTTTGAACAATATGTTTGTTTCTATTAAAATGATCCTAAACCTGAAATTTCACACCAAAAATTCCTGAGTTTGGACACCAGTGTGTGCTGGCCAGTGTGGGCAGTGGGACTGGCCTGGTTGGGGTCACTTTGTCCTGGTGTCAGATCTTGGCTTGGCTCCAAAGCAGCTTTTGGGGATTTTAGAAGGTGATTTTTCAATCAGGTACTACAGGAAGTGTTTGAGGCATCTCCTCATTGTCCTGAGGTCACCTGGGCCCTTCATTGCTGATACACAGCATTCTATGGGATCCCAGGATGGTTTGGGCTGGAAGGGACCTTAAGGATCATCCAGTGCCACCCCCAGCCATGGGCAGGGACACCTCCACTGTCCCAGGGGGCTCCAGCCAGGCCTTGGGCACTGCCAGGGATCCAGGGGCAGCCCCAGCTGCTCTGGGAATTCCATCCCAGGCAGGAATCCCCAATTCCCAATCTCCCACCCCTCCCTGCCCTCTGGCACTGGGAGCCATTCCCTGTGTCCTGTCCCTCCATCCCTGTCCCCAGTCCCTCTCCAGCTCTCCTGGAGCCCCTCCAGGCCCTGCCAGGGGCTCTGAGCTCTGCCTGGAGCTTCTCCTCTCCAGGGGAACATTCCCAGCTCTCCAGCCTGCAGAGGAGAATCCCTGCAGAGGTTGCAGTCCCTGCAGAGGTTGTCCTTGTGCTGGAGTCTCCCAGCTCAGGTGTGGCTGTTGGTCTGTGCTGCTCTGGGTCTGATAGAGAAACAGGAATTGGGGACTGTCCTTTCTGCTGGGCCGTGGTGGTGTTTGTGTCCTGCCCCAGGAGGTCCCTGGGTCTGTGCCAGGCAGAAACAGCTCAGGCTGGCATGGAACAGCAGCTTCTGGCTGGAGACAAGGGGAGTTCTGAGCTCTGAACAAGGCAAGGTGCTGGGAAGTTGGGATTGCTGCTCCTTGGAGCCTTTCAGGCCTGCCTGGACAAAGCCCTAAGAAACCTGGTGACAATTTCTGGTTTGAGCAGGAGCTTGGCTCAGACACCCCTGAGGCTCCTGGCACCCCAGGGATTCCCAGTCCTTGCTCTGCCCTCCCAGCTTCTCTGCTTGTGGGAGTGCAGGGGAAGCACAGCTGGAGCCCAGAGCCCCAGCAGGGCTTGGGGACAAGGGGCTGCAAAGATCCTCTTGTTCCACTCCTGCCATTCCAAATGGGTTTGTTCCAAGGCTCATCCAGCACTGCCTCTGTTCCAGCAGCTTTTGCAGTTTGGGGGTTCCTCAGAGTGAGAGGCAGAAGGCAGCTGCAATGGGGAAGGAATGTTCCTCTCGAGGCAGAAGGCAGCTGCAATGGGGAAGGAATGTTCCTCTCCTGGGTCTGTGGCCCCTGTGATTGTCACTGCAGGCCCAGGTGCCCTCCTGCAGCTGGCATCACCCATCAGTGCTCCTGCTGCTCCTCCCTGGGCTGCCCCTGCTCCCTGCCTGCCATGGGAGCAGCCTGGGCACTCCTGCCAGTGCTGTCACTCTGGAGGTGTGGTTGTGGGGCCATTGTGGGGTTGTAGGAGCAGCACGTGGTCCTGGCTCTGTGATTTCTTTTGGGATAAAAGAGGAACATCCCCCTGAATGGAGCAGAGTGGCCTCAGCTGAATGTTCAGGCCAGAACACCGTGCTGGAGGAGCTCACTCAGGTTCATCCCTGTGACAGCAGTGCCTGGGGTGGCCCTGGCTGGAAAGGAATTCAGATAAATCCTGCTGGAGCTCTCACTGCTGCCAGGGTTTATCTGATGGCTCCTGGCTCAGAACCATCTCCCTTCAGAACCAACCTGGGGGTGTTTCTGTCTCGTGCTTCTCTCTCCTCCTCCTGATGTGACCTTTGCTAATCAATACTAATTCCTGCAGCCAGGACCTGTTCTGGGCAGGTTCTTCCCCTCCTCCCCAGAGCATTCAGGAATGTTCTCAGTGTTTCTCTGTGATAGAAGCTCCTTTTTGTTTCTTGCCTCCCAAGCATCCCACATGGAGCCAAACACCTACTCCAGCAATTTTCTTCCAGCCAGTTGCACATATGATCTGGTCAGGAGGAAGATGTGGGATTTTGGCAGGGACATGTGCTTGCAGCATCTGCCTGCTCAGGCCTTGCCTGGATGATTTATATTTTTGGTTCCCAGCTGCTTCACACACTGCATGTGAAACATTCCCCCCTGGAATTTTCCAAAGGCAGAAATCTGCTCTAAAACCACTGTTTTAAACACAGCTTTGCACTGGATACTCACTAAACAGAATCCTGCAGTAATTTGGGTACAAAAGGACCTTAAGGCCCATCTCATTCCACCAACCTACCATGGGCAGGGACACCTTCCATAGTCCAGGTGTCTCCAAGCCCCATCCAGCCTGGATGGTGCCAGCCTGCCTGTGGCAGATGGGGTTTGTTCCCTCTGAAGAGCAGGGCTATCAATAATTTTATGGCAGGTTATTTTCCTTGGGATAATTTGTATTAGGAAGCATCAGTATATTCCAGAATCTTACTGAAATGGGGAATCTCTGAGGGATTGTTTCTGCTCCAGCCGTTCCCAGCTGTGCTGGCTCTGGGCTCTTGTCCTCTGCTTTTCAAAGGTTTTTTCTTCTCCATGTTGCTGTTCTCCAGCCTTTCCTGCCTCTTCCCTTCATCCATTAAAAACTCCACATGCAGCCACAGCAGTGTTCCATCCACTTCTGCTTTTCTGTGCAGCTTTTTTCCTTCACACAGGGATGCAGCAGGATTATTTATCCTGTTCCTGTGTGAAGACCAGCCACCTTTATTTTCATCCTGCAGCTTCTATTCTGTTGTGGGGATATTTGCTCAGTGACCAAGCTGCAACAGATAATTGTGTGGTTTACAATTTCAACATGTTTCCATGTCCTGCTAATCCAAACACAGGGGAAAATCCAGAGTGAAACAGTCAGGAAGAGTGTGAGAGTGTGAATTCCATTTCCCCGTTGGTTTTGGTGCTGCTTCTGAAGTGGCAGCAATGAAAGGGATCTGCTGGTGTTTCCTGGTCAGAGATGGGTGTTTGGGGGTGTGAGTGCTGAAATGCCTGCCCTGAGCTGTGGAGGAGCTGGGGGCCACAGCTGTGGCTGTTGTGTTGCAGATACCTGGCCTACAGGAACTTCATGATCGACACGTACCGGCTGAACCCGCAGGAGTACCTGACCAGCACTGCCTGCAGGAGGAACCTCACCGGGGATGTCTGTGCTGTCATGAGGTGACAGCCTGCTCTCTGGGGCCTTTGGGACCTTTGGGGTCTGGGCCTTTGGGGCCTGCAGATTCTGGGCATTCCCAGGCATCAGCAGCATCGTGGAATAACCGAGGGTGGAAAAGTTCTCCAAAGATTGAGCCCAGCCCCTGCCCTATCCCTAGCACTGCACTGAGTGCCACATCCAGGCCTCCCTTGGGCACCTCCCTGGGCAGCCCTAACCCTGAGCACCCTTTCCATGGGGAAATTCCTGCTGTGCCTGCCCTGGCCCAGCCTGAGGCCGTTCCCTCTGCTCCTGTCCCTGCTCCCTGGGATAAGATCCCAAATCCCCCCGGCTGTGCCCTCCTGGCAGGAGCTGTGCAGAGCCACAAGGGCCCCTGAGCCTCCTTTGCTCCAGGTGAGCCCCTGCCCAGCTCCTCAGGGATTCTGCAGCCCCTGCCCAGCTCCCTCAGGAATTCTCTGGTCCCTTCCCAGCTCCCTCAGGGATTCTGCAGCCCCTTCCCAGCTCCCTCAGGGATTCTCTGGTCCCTTCCCAGCTCCATTCCCTGGACACACTCCAGCCCCTCAGGATCTTTCTTTGGGGCCCAGAACTGGACACAATCAGGCTTTGGTTTATCCATCACACTGCACACACTTAGGTGTGCACAGAGCTCCTGCTCTGGGATTTGTTTTGCTCTTTGGGATTAATGAAGGACTAGAGGAGTTTCTGGGTCTGGTTTTGATCCAGCACCATCAGCTCTGTCCTTTGTCCCCTCCCACACGAAGCACGAGCAAACCTTTATGGCAAAGGCTGGATCTGTGCTGTTCCTCACAGGGTCCACGCCTTCCTGGAGCAGTGGGGGCTCATCAACTACCAGGTGGACCCCGAGAGCCGCCCCATGGCCATGGGGCCCCCCCCGACCCCCCACTTCAACGTGCTGGCCGACACCCCCTCGGGGCTGATGCCGCTGCACATCCGCACCCCGCAGGTGAGCCTGGGCTGGGAAATGTCCCCTGACAGCTGGGGGAGTGTCCCCTTACCTGACACCTGGGGAAGTGTCCCCTGACACCTGGGGGAGTGTCCCCTGATAGCTGGGGAAGTGTCCCCTGATAGCTGGGGAAGTGTCCCCTTACCTGACAGCTGGGGAAATGTCCCCTTGCTCAACAGCTGGGAAATGTCCCTTGATAGCTGGGGGAGTGTCCCCTTGCTGGGCAGCTGGAGAATGTTCCTTGTCTGAAGGCTGGGAAAATGTCCCCCTTGCTGCCCACCTGGGGGAATGTTCCCCTAGCTGGGCAGCTGGGGAAATGTCCCCTTCCTGCCTGAGCAGCTGGGGAATGTCCCCTTGCTGGGCAGGTGGAGGAAGTGTCCCCCGTGCTGAGCAGCTGGGGGAACGTCCCCTTGCTGCCCAGCTGGAGAATGTCCCCCTTGCTGGGCAGGTGGAGGAAGTGTCCCCTTCCTGTCTAAGCAGCTGGGGGAAATGTCCCCCTTGCTGAGCACCTGGGAAATGTCCCCTTGCTGCAGCTGGGCCCAGCATCTGGGGCAGTTCTGTGCAGAGCCACTCACACACTGCTCAAACACTGTTTCAGTGTCTTGGGCTTGTGTTCAGCTTCTCTGTCCAGTCCATGTTCTGTGGGGTGTTGGTCTGAAACCCTTGGATAGTTTTCAATTGCTGCCCCTCTCCCCTGTAATGTTTGTTCCCAGGTTCCAGCTGCCCAGCAGATGCTGAGCTTCCCTGAGAAAAACAAGGAGAAGCCAACTGACCTGCAGAACTTTGGCCTTCGCACTGACATCTACTCCAAAAAGACTCTGGCCAAGGCAAGTGTCCCCTCCAGCTCCCCGTGAGCTTTGTTGTCCCCCAGGTGTCCCCCACTCTGTCCCTGAGGTGACTTGTGTTGCTCCTCCACTCCTGGTTTGGATGTCTCCCATCCCTGTGCAGGACACTACAGTGGGAGGTTGTGCTGGATTCTGATTTTATGGGAATAAAGCCATGGACAGCATCCCAGAGCAGTGCACACTGCCAGCCTCAGCTGCCAAGCTCACTGTGTCCCTGCATGTCCTGCTGGAATGGCTCAGCAGCAGCAGCAAGCCACCCAAGGATTTGGGACACAGAGAGCTTCCAGCAGGATCTCTGCCTCTCCTGGTTCCCAGGGTGACACTCAGGGACCCCAGAGCCCACTGCTTGGGTGTCCTGGGGCCATTGCAGGGGGTGTTTGGGCACTGTCATTGCAGGGTGTCACACAGGATAATGAAACTTGGGGACATCATTGCAGTGGGGTGTTGATTCCACAGCCTCCTGCTTTTCCCTGCTCGCTGGGTGTCCCTGGAGGTGCTGTGGGAATGCCAGGGTACCTCAGCACAGCCTCCAGTGGGAACTGGGACTCTCCAGAGCTGGGCAATGCCCCTTATGGGTGGCATCAGGCTAATTCCATCTCATTGGTTCATTGTTCTCAGAGGTCACCGTTTAAACCTAAAAATAACTATTTAAACACTAATTACCCCTTCAGACCATCCTTTAAAAACCCAACAACCCCAAAGTAGTTCTCGAGGTATTTTTTGTAAGGTTGATCCACCTCACATTTAATGGATTGACTTTTTCACTCGTTAGGGGAGGTATAAATGCTCTCCAAATTGATGAATCTGTTGGTGGCTGTGGGCTCTGGCTCTGTTTACAGGGGCCATGAACTGGAGCAGGTTTGTTGGCAGATTGCCCTGTTTGGTTTCTGTGTGCTGGGGCTTTGTGGAGAGCAGCAGTTGGGTGACTCACATTGATTAATGTTCTGTGTGGGTTAATGAGCTGTTTGAAATGCATCTGGAGATAACATTTATTATCCTAAATAGCCTCTTCCTCTCAGTCTAGCATGGAGCCATCCAGTGGTGCTGGTGTTCCTTTGGAGCAGGTCCTGAGCTGCTTTTGTGCTGGGTCAGGGTGTCACAGGAGGGGAGGCTCCACCATGGATTTGGAACTTTTATCCAGTCTGAGCAGTTTACTCAGATTTGGGAGCAGATTTGGGAGCAGCAGCCCTTGGAGCAGATGATCCTGCTGGAGTTACTCTGCCTTCTCCCATAGCTCACCCCCCTGTACAGAGTTGTTATTTCTCTACTGAGTTACTGATGAACTTGGAGATAAATTCACTCATTTTGGACCAGCCCACATTGTGCCCAGCCTGCTCTGCCTCCAGCACTCACAGGGGGTTTGTTATTCAGGAAAACCCTCTGTGCTGTGTGTGCAGGCACAGATCAGTGGGAGAGGAGGGTGCAGATCCCTTTGCTTTAGCTCAGCAGGCATGGTGGGAAGTTGGGATGTGTGAACCCAGCTGTGCCTTCACTGAGGAGTAAATCATGGACCCCTGAATGGAGTGACCAGCTGGAGGGGGAGGTTTGGGTGGATCAAATCACAGCTTCCTCCCCTTTCCTCCTCAGTGGTTTCTCCTACAAGGTTTTGTACAAGAAGTCCTGTGTTTCACCTGCTTTTTTTCCCCTCCTGTCTTTTGTAGAGTAAAGGTGCAAGTGCTGGCAGAGAATGGACAGAGCAGGAGACACTGCTGCTGTTGGAGGTGAGTTCATGAGGCCCAGCCAGGAGGGGTAGATCAGGCTTTAAAAATCCACATGTGCATTTTTTGGAGTTAAAGAATGACTGCCATTGTGGCTACAAGAGTGTTGCTCCCAAAAAGAGATGTCAGGAGCATCTCTGTGAGAGAGGGGCTGCCTGTGTCTGAGGTTTGCTTCAAACGTGGACCTGCAAGCCAGAATGAAGCATTTAAGAATTTTGTATAAGTCAAGAACAGGTTTTACAGTGCAGAGAGGTGCTTTCATTCAGCAGGACTCAGACAGTGTGAAATGATGTCACTAATTCAAATAGTGGTGAATAATTCAGGTAAAGGTTTGCCTGGCCCTCAGATACATTCTTGGGAGTTTTGATTTCCAAGCTATGCCATAGCTCAGGGAAGCAGCTCATTCTGGAAGCTGAACTGGTTGGGAAACAGTTGAGGCCACAGAGAAGGGAAGTTCTTCAGCAGCTCCTTCATCCCATCTGTCTCCTTCTTGTTTTCCTGTAGTTCAACTTGGGGTGTTCTTTGAGCTTTTTCTGGAAGTCTACCAAAAAAAAATCCTGAGATGACTCCATGAGGTGCCTTATGGTGCAGGCTGGTGTCCCCAGGTGGCTTCCAGGGAAGCTCTGGAGCACATGGGGATGGGTGGATGGCTGGAACCCTCTGAGGAGCTGCAGAGGGTTCTGGGCTCTCACATCAGGGCAGTTTCTCTCTGCTTCAGCACAAGAACAATCTCAGTGGCCTGAAATAATTTAAAGTGCTGCCACTTCCTGCATAGAAAATATCTTCTCCCCAGCTTTGCTTTCACAGGAACATTTTCCTGATGTAGAGGCTGCATGGCTGATTTCTTTCTTTTAAGGTAATTCAGAGTTCTGAGAATTCTAGTTTGGGGCTCTGTTTTTGTTGGGTTTTATTTGCAGAGCTCAGAGCAAACTGCAATTGCCTGGTTGTTACAGCTTTTTTGTCTTCCCATGTGTCAATAAACCCATTGAAAAGTTAATTTCCTGGGGAAAAGCCTGGAGGATGGACCTGTGTCAGTGCCAAATGAGCAGCTGTGATTCAGTCTTCACACATATGGAGTGTGGTCATCAGACAGCCAAAATCTCCCCTTTTTTCCTATTTATTTTAGGTTGATATTCACTGTTTAGCCAATACTTTTCTACTGGCACATGGAAAAATTTTGCTTACAGGGTGTAAACAGCTGTTTTCCATGGCATTCTTGTAAGGAGAAACAAGGCTAATGCCTTGATATACTGACTTCTTCCCTTTTTTATTTATTTAAATATATTATTTAAATATCTAATATTAATAGTACTGTTATTTAAAATTCATTGGTTTGTATGTTTTTAGCTTCTGGTCATACACTTCATGCTGTAGCCCAATGAAATAATCCAGTGACCTATTCTGTGTTTAAAACAAACCAAAACCCCCCTAAATCTTGAGATTGCAATTCTGTTTAATGAGTTTAAATTAATAATGTTTTTGTTCCTCCTTTTTCATGGACTTGCTCCATGAATAAATCAGTAAAGAGTATATCAGTTCAAGCATAAGTAATTCTGCTGTAACAAGCCAGCTCAGTCCAATTAAATCCTCAGGGTAGCTTTGGGCAAATAGATAGGCAGCGAAGTTCCAAATAATAAATCATATCTGAAATATAATTATTGGCCTTCTGCCTGTTGACTGAATAATTTGGGGAAGGAAATAGAGCTTTCCTGCCCAAAGCAGCCTCCCTGCACAGCCCTGTCCGTGTCCCCACGGCTCAGGCAGAGTTAAATGCATTTTCAGCTATTTTTAGGAAGGACATTTATTGCGAGCGAAGGTTTGTCTGGCAGGAAAACAACAGACGGGGAAGGAGGAGGAGCAGAAAGCAGAAATTTGGGGGTTGAGAAGCAGAGCTGATCTCGTGTGCCAGTGGGGTTAAAAATGGAGATGGGGACTGAGAGGTGAAATTAGGGAAAGGGAAATAAGGGCTGAGCAGAGAATGAATATCTCCCTTGAGTGTGCCCTGCTGAGCTGAGCTGTCCTCTGCTCGAACCCTTGGGGGTCCCAGGGGCAGGAGGAGGGCTCAGCAGGGCTTGGGGATGGTGGGTCCCTGCTGGGGAGCAGGCTGGTCACTGCAGCCTGTCCCAGGGCATTCCCAAGCCCAGGGCTCTCCCAACCCCTCCTGGTGCTGCTCGGGGTCTCCAGCAGCTCCTGGGTGCTCTCCCCACCCAGCTGGGTGTCCCAGCACACCCCACCTGCTGCTGGGAGGGAAGGAGCAGGGAGCCAGAGGCTTTCTGGAGCCACGCTGGGGCTTTTCCTCTTCCACCCTAGTTAAACAGTGAGACCTGGCTGGGAGAGAGGAACTTGAGCCAGGTTTGAGCTTAAATCACTCTGGGAGATGCTGCCCACTGAGGCAGCTTGGGCATGTCCCTCCAGTTTGATCCATGGTGGATCTCTGATGCCTTTGGATTGAATTATCTGTCCTTGTAGCCAGTTTGCTTCCACATCTTTGCAAACAGGAGCATTTTTGCAAACATTTTCCTGACCTCAGCTGACCCTCTGCAGCCTCAACGTGCCTGAGGGCCCCGTGCAGGTCAATATTTTGTCCTTGAGGAATTCTCAGAGCTTCTGTTGTAACTGAACAAATGCTAAAACACTTCAGAGCTGCTCTGAAGACAGCAGTGTGTTTGGAAGGGACCTTAGAGCCCATCCCACCCCACCCCTGCTGTGGGCAGGGACACTTTCCTTTATACCAGGTAGCTCCAAGCCTCTTCCAGCCTGGTCCTGGTGTTCCACAGAAGTTGGTGTGTGTTCTGGGCCCTTCCCAGGTGGAGGAACTCTGAGCACCAGGCTGGTGGCTCAGTTTGGATCTTCCTCTTGTCCCTGGGAGCTGCTGAACCCCCAGCACAGGAACGCTGTGTCCCTGTGTGCTCTGCTCTCCCACCTTGGGCATGTTCTCCTCGGGACCTCTGGCAGATCCAGCTCCAAGCTCTCCCTCCCTCTCTGAGAGTTCAGTCCGCCTGGAAGGTTGAGATTTCTGGGAGTTCTCAGCTTGTGGGAGAGATTTACTTAGGAAAACTCATTTTCACACTGAACATCTTCTGCCAGGAACTCAAATGGGTTTTTGCCTTTTCTGGGTGACTGCACCATGAATCCTCTCAGAAATGTAAAAGTTAATGATTCAGGATATGTCAGTATTTATTTTGTACTGTCCAGGTACTGCACTAAAACAATTTTCAGGGAAAAAATGTCTTGTTAAGGAGTAATAATTTATTAGGCTGTGACTTGGACAGTTTTACAGGATTAATGTGTTGGTTTTTCAGGAACTAGTGCAGGCCTTCAGTAGCTCCTTGCTGTTGAATTGTTTTATGACTTTTATTGAAGAAGTTTAAAAATAACTGGAATTCAGAATTATGTCTTTGATATGATCGGCAAGTTCTTCATCAGGTGCCTTATCTAGCTAGTAATGATTTGTTAGCCCTGATTTTAACAGAAATCACACTGTGCACAGCTCCTGCCGAGCTGGTCTCTCCTGGCTTCAGGGTGTGGGATAGATTTCCCTCTTTTCCCATGGTCTATCGGTTTGATGCTTTTCCACTTCTATAGCATCTGTTGGATCTAAAGACTGGATTTCACCATCACAGCCAGTCCACATTTGGAAAAAGAAATAGAGAAATAGATGCTGTTCCTGTCCCAAAGAGCTTCCTGTGTTCAGAGAGTGAGCAGAGAGAGCGTCCTTGGGGGGAGTGCTGGGAATTAAAGGATTGTGAAACTTGGTAGGAAAGGCAGATTTAGTTCTCTGTGGAAGCAAAATGGAGAAACACCTACTGTGCAAGTATTAGTAAATCCCAAGTCCTCTGACAATTCTTTCTGATACAGTAACATCATCCACTCCTCACTGATACCTCTGGGAAATTCTCACATTTCTTACACAGATCATTTTGATGCCAGGAAAACCCCATTTTCAGTAGTTGTCTGATCCCCATTTACTGCTCCATCACACAATAACCAGTATGGATAACCCTTCAGCCCACAGCAGCATTGCTTTCCCCGAGTAGCCGCCGCTTTTGCCTTTTGCAGGCCCTGGAGATGTACAAGGACGACTGGAACAAGGTGTCGGAGCACGTGGGCAGCCGCACGCAGGACGAGTGCATCCTGCACTTCCTGCGCCTGCCCATCGAGGATCCCTACCTGGAGAACTCGGACGCCTCCCTGGGCCCCCTGGCCTACCAGCCCGTGCCCTTCAGCCAGTCTGGGAACCCCGTCATGAGCACCGTGGCCTTCCTGGCCTCCGTGGTGGATCCGCGCGTGGCCTCGGCCGCTGCCAAGGCTGCCCTCGGTACGGCACAGCCCTGGCCCCACGTCCCTTTGCCCCACGTCCCTTTGCCCCACGTCCCTCGCTTCACATTCCTTGCCTCATGTTCCTTGCCTTATGTCCCTCACCCCTTTGCCCAACGTCCCTCGCCCCTTTTCCCCGCATCCCTCGCCTCACATCCCTTGCCCCACATCCCTTGCCTCATGCCCCACATCTCTCACCCCTTTGCCCCACGTCCCTCGCCTCACATCCCTTGCCCCACATCCCTCGCCCCTTTGCCCCGCATCCCTCGCCTCACATCCCTTGCCCCACATCTCTTGCCCCTTTGCCCCGCGTCCCTCGCCTCACGCCCCACGTCCCTTGCCCCCTTTGCCCCACATCCCTTGCCTCACATCCCATGCCCCACGTCTCTCGCCCCTTTGCCCAACGTCCCTCGCCCCCTTTGCCTCATGTTCCTCGCCTTTTGTCCCTCACCCCTTTGCCCCACGTCCCTCGCCCCTTTGCCCAACGTCCCTCGCCCCTTTTCCCCGCATCCCTCGCCTCACATCCCTTGCCCCACATCTCTCGCCCCTTTGCCCCACGTCCCTCGCCTCACGCCCCACGTCCCTTGCCCCCTTTGCCCCGCATCCCTTGCCTCACATCCCTCACCACCTGCATTGTTCCCCCTCACCCCTATGTCATCCCCCTCACCCGATGTCCCCCACCCTGTGTGTGCCTGCCCCTCCAGCCACAGGGGTGCAGAGTCCTCAGTGAGCAGTAAAACACAGGAGTTGGGGGCACAGTTATGTAGGAGAAGCTCTGCTCTCCCCAGGTTTGTGTTCTGCTTCCCTGAAATCCCATTTGCAGCCAGGGTGCCCTGGTGAGGCACAGCTGGGGTGTGCTGTCCTGCTCTGGGCTCCTCAGGACAAGGAGCTGCAGGAGAGGCTCCAGCAGGGCCACAGGGATGTTCAGGGCTCTGGGGCTGCAGGAGCTGGGCCTGCTCAGCCTGCACAAGGGCAGGCTCCCAGGGGATCCCATCAATGCACACAAATCTCCCAAACTGTGCCAGGAGAAGGTGCCAGGCTCTGCTCAGTGACAGCACCAGGAGCAGCGGCACAAACCAAACCCCAGCAGCAGGAACAGCCTCTGTCCATGGAGGGGCAGAGCCTGGGACAGCTGCCCAGGGGGGCTGGGGTCTCCTCTCTGGAGCATCCCAAACCCAGCTGGGCACAGCCCAGGGACCCTGCCCTGGCAGGGGCTGCCCTGGGTGACATCCAGGCGCTCTGTGTGAAGTTGGAGTGGCTCCAGAAGGCCACTGAGTGCCCAGGAATGGCTGATGTTGCCTTCTGCCCTCACTGCTCCTGATGTGTTTGCACCTGGTGGTTGATGTTCCTCTGAGTACTGTCACCAGTGCAGCTCTGGATGAAGTCAGTGTGGATCTTGCAGTTTTCCTGTTTTACCTGTGTGAAATTACTTGCCAGAGATCCTAGAATTCCCAGACTGGACTGGGTTGGAAGGCCCTTGAAAGGACCTCCTGTTCCACCTCCTTCAATGGGCAGGGACATCTTGCACTAGAAGGTTCAAGTATTGAGTGGACATTGGATGTGTCCACTTGATAAAATAGTTAATCTCAATTTTTTCCTTGTTTTTCCACATAAAACACAATATTATGTAATGGGAAAGAGACTCTTTTCTACCACACCTGAAATACAGAATCAACCACCTTGTGTGAGAGGAAGGAACTCCGCTATTTGAGAATTCCCTTTGTCCCGGGGTTTACCTGCGCACCAGTCAGAGAAAACGTGACTTAATTTGCTGCAGAATCCCCAGGATGTCTCATTTTGTGTGTCGTGTCCCCCAGAGGAGTTCTCCCGGGTCAGAGAGGAGGTGCCCCTGGAGCTGGTGGAGGCCCACGTGAAGAAGGTGCAGGAAGCAGCTCGAGCCTCTGGGAAGGTGGATCCCACCTACGGGCTGGAGAGCAGCTGCATCGCTGGCACAGGCCCTGAGGAGCCTGAGAAGATGGGTGAGTGCTGCATCCCCTCCTGAGAAACCCCAAATTCTCCTCCTCCAGCAGGAGATGGAAGTTGTGGGGAGGGAGAAGGGGATGGCTCATTCTGCTCACAGTAGGATTGACTTGGACACTGAACTAAGGATTTTAGGGCTGCCTTGAGTTCTAGGAGTTTGTTCTCCTGCTCTCACTGTGTGGAAATGCTGTGGCTTGGGGTGCACAGAGTGGGCTGACCAAAAATACCGGAGCAGGATGTTCCATTGGTTGGGTGTTGGAGAATTCAAGGCAAAATGATAGTCATGGAATTTTTGCATAGAAAGCTGTGCAAGACCTTCCATCTAAAGTGACTAAATTTAGTATTAATTCTGCTAAAGTAATGCAATTAATTTGTATTATTAATACAAATCTGTTGTCTCCTTATGATGCTGTGCATTTAGCTACAGTTTTGTTTCTGCCTTGTGGTGTTTAAGCAAGCAGGGGGGTTTGGGCAGTGGGTTTAGGGTGGATCTGGTACTCTGAGTGTGCTGTTCTCTGTGGAGGCAGCAGCAGAGACATTTCTGATGGAGTGCTGGACTGGCACATGATAATCCAGCCCTGGCTCTGGTTGGGCTAGAATTCTGCTGGGCTTGACCTGTGTGTGTTAACAAGCTCTGGTTTAATTTCTGTGGTGTTCAGCAAATATTCTGCTGTTAAGTCTCTTCTCTGAAGCCCTGCCTGGTGCAGATTGGTTCCTGGTTGCTCTGGAGTGTCAGAGCAGCTCCCTGGAAGTGAAGCCCTGTGTGCCCCTCTCTGCTGGCCCTGGTGGCTGCCCAGCAGGAGGAGCAGACTCTGTTTACTCCATCCCCAGGGCTTTTGCTCTCCTCGTTTGGTTACAGATCCACAATCTTGTCACTGCTGCTTTCCCTCAGCCCTGTTGGCTCCTGCTTTGTTCAGCTTATCACAGTTGATTTCAGTGACTGGACGTGAGCAGGCACGTCTGGCTGTGGGTGAAGCTGAGCAGGATGGGATGGAGCCTGACTGGGAGGCTGGTTTGGGATGTGCTCCTGCCCTGCAGAGCTGCCTGCTGTCACCCTGTGCAGGGACACGAGCAAGGTGCCAGATTGAGGGATGGCATCACGAGGGGCTGTGCTCGCTGCTCCTCGCTTATCCACTGCTGCCCACAGAGGGCTGCTATTTATAGCTCCTAATGGCCATTGCAAAACTACCCAGTAAATCAGATTGCAAAATGCCACTTAAATCACCAAGATAGTTTTTAATTAGAAAAGAAGCAAACAAACCACTCAGCCCTTCTGTCGCACGTCTCAGTTGTGCTCTCAGTGGGACAGACTTGCCATGAGGCAGCTCGGTGCTTTGGGATGGTGGGCATTGTGTGCTGGAAGGGAAAGAGAAACATCTGGAACATCTGCTGCTGCCTGCTCCTCAGAGCTGACAGCAGGCATTGAAGCCGTGCTGGAAGGACAAGCTTTGGGTTTATTTACAAGTCAGCTATAAACCAAATCTCCATGTTACTCCATCTGGGGCTGAGTTTAATTTCATAGCTGTTTTAAAATAAGGTCAGCTTAAGTTAAATTTTTCTTCCAGTCTTTGTTCCCCTTTCCCATATTCCCCCAGTACAGGTGTCACTGTGGGTTGTTGAGAATCATTTCAGTTGGTAAAGCCCTCCAAGGTCAGAGTCCCAGCTGTGCCTGGTCCCCACCTTGTCCCCAGCCCAGAGCACTCAGTGCCACCTCCAGCCCTTCCTGGGACACCTCCAGGGATTGGGACTCCAAACCTCCCTGCGGAGCCCCTTCCAACATTTAACAACCCTTTCCATGAAGGAATTGCTGCTGATGGGCACCCTGAGCCTCCCCTGGCCCATCCTGAGGCCGTTCCCTCCTGTCCTGAACATGTCCC